TTCAAAACTTCCATACCCGACTCAACTAAGTCTTCCACTGGCTATTTTTCCTCTTGGGGATTTCTGACTACATGCCATTACTTGCATGTCCCCAATAAGCAGCCCCATCTGATTCTTTTCATCGAATCCTATTCCTCACGAAGTTGTTTCATAAATTGAATTTGATCACGGAGTGGCGGGAAGTCAATATTGGTAGTTCTGAAAAGAGAATACTGAGCCTGAATGAGGATTCACCATTCTGAGTACCTTCTGAGTACTTTTTATGGATGCATGAAGATGCATCGGGTGAGCGAGAAAATTCTCCCTCTGATATGATTTGGACGCCACAGTCTCTGGATTGATTTTGTCTTGGACCTTGTATCTGGATGACGTACCATCTTCAATCGAATGATCAGTTGCCCCGGGATAATATGCGTAGGATATTCTTTCAGGAGAACGAATGAATGCTTTTCCAAGCGAAACGATATAAGCTGCATCATCAGGCATACTACGCCACACAAAAATACAATCTGTCTTCTATCAGAACAAAAGAGACATCCCCCTGGTGAAAAAGAGTGTGGCAGTTGGCCAAAGAGGAATTGGACCTTTGGAAGAGACGCCAAACAGGTGTTGGGCTTTATATTTCAACCCTTTTGTAGTCTTTAATATCAAAACCGGGTACCCCAGAATAGGAGATGTATCAAGTATACATATCATAATCAGAAGAGACGTTTGTGGGAGGAAGTCGTCAAAGATCAGAGCTGGGAAGAACTGGGAATACTAGGATGTCATGCATTTAGCTTGCATCAACATGCTCATCTGGATTCTTCTGTATTTGCTTAAAAGCTTTGCCCCATGAATTCACTTGGGGAATAAAGACTGGCTCTTGTTGAACAAATTAGGGAACACAAAGTTATGGAGGATGCCCCTGATAAAAGAGTCTGATGCCCTGGTGTGGCAACGACATCTGATGTTGGTCAATAAGAACGAAGCATTGATATAAGATCCTATGGTAAAATGGGAAGCATCTGCTGATAAGATGTTCCAAGAACTCAGGATTGCGTAGCACTCCATGGTTGGAAGCAATACCCAAAAGATGAGGAGAAGAGAGAACCTTTATTGTGACAGTAAGTGCAAGATTATTGACATCATCATCATAGCTTTCATGACCTATCTCATCTGAGTTTTCAATCAATTATCTTCCTGCTTGAAGATATTTTTGACTCTGGGCCAAAGCTTGCATGTATATCATATGGGGTTATTCCCTAACCGATCCCTGAACAAGTGCAGTAAGAAATCAAAGTTAAACCTCCAAGGAGAACCATGTCTGGATAAGAATCCCCAATCTTTGAGTACCTGTTATGGATGCATGAATATGCATGGAGTGCATGAATAGATGCCATGTTATGTCCCTTCATTCCCAATGAATTTACGTGCTTTGATTTTGATTTTACGTAAGTAAAAGATGGAAAAGTTTGGCACAAGGCTTACAAATACGATTCCTTGGAAATCACAGAACATGTATGTTAAGTATGTGGTTAACCATGTTATATATGCAAAGGCATGAGGTCGAATGGAATCAAGGTTCCATCATTTCTGGGTATGATTGATGCACTGCTTCTGAACCAAATAAATATCACCAATTTAGAGGTCTGGCACAACTTCTGCACATATAAGATCCAAGTACTATGTAGATAACCCATTGTACGGGGTCAAGGTTTCTGGAACATCAGATACTGTTGAGCATTTTCTGAATACGCTGGGAATGCCAAGATCAAAGGCTTGAATAAATCTCTAGGTAAACAAATCAGGAACTCAGAAAATAAATCTGAGAATCATACAATCACCAACAGAATACCATATGCATAAGTCATTGACAGAAGTACAGAACATGATCATTAGAACCAATAGTCATTGTCTGATCATAGCCTCCATCTGAGCATAGGTAACCATCTGAACTTAGTCACCATCTGTACCTGTAATAAGAATTCCCTCCCCACTTACGGGTGAAGACTAGGTTAGGGTACGACAATGGTAACTCGAAAATCACGGGTCCGCCTGAAAGTTCTATGGGCTTACCCACAGACGTGGGTGCCGATAGTAATTCATTTGAACCTCATCCGAGCGTGGTATATGACAAGACTGCACTAATCGGACCACGTCCTATAGCCGTCATGCCCCCACTCTATTCCTAGTGTCCTAGTGCACTCTGGCCTGGGTACTGGGCCTTTTACCTTGATAGTGACATCCCCACCCAACATGGAAAACCAGAATCCAACATAATAGATGACAAATAGGGAAAGCAATAAAATGCAATGCAAACTTATGCTCAGATAAACATGTACAAATGAGTAAACTGAAAGCATAAAAATAAACACCCAAAGAAAAGAAAACAAGAGCTAGGAGCGACTCCAGGATGGATCAGGATTTGGTCGACCTATCCCCAGTGAAGTCGCCAGCTGAAACAACCGGCTGAAAATCATCAAAACAATGAAGTCGCCATCGAAAGTCTTTTATCCCACATGTAGGGAAAGGCAAACATCGAGAAAACCTGAGAAGGGTGAAATCAAGGTCGAACGACCAAGAGATAAGGGTAAGGGAGTCTGTTACGCGAGGGGAAGGTATTAGCACCCCACACGTCCGTAGTACTCTACGGTATCCACTCTTGTTGTCTATCTTATGATTGTGTTTCGTCTATGCTTACTGTTTATCATTGCTAAGGGGAGAATGCATGCAAAAGAAAAGGAGAAAAGAACGTAGGGAAAATAAAATTGTGGTGCTCGCTTGGGCCATACCCCAATTCCTACGTATCCCTTTTAAGGAATCAGAGCAGCCGTAGTTCGGCTTATATGTTTTTATCGGTTTGTATTTTTTAATGAAATACATTAATTTCGCCTTCTGCCGCAACTCGACCTTCAGAGACTTACGCGTCAGCACAGAAGTGAATTAACATGCTCTTTCTGAAAAGTGTTTGGAGAAAACATGCCTGGGCGCACAAAAGGTTTGAATTTGTTTGTTTTTGTAATGAACAATATTAATTTCGCCTTCTGCCGCAACTCGACCGTTGGAGACTTACGCGTCAGCACAAAAGTGAATTAATATGTTCTTTTTAAAAAGAATTTTGCAAGGAAGGCCCGAAGGCAAAAGGAATTTTGTGTTGGTTGATGTTTTTGCTTGTAGATAATAGCTAGTTAATCTCAAGAGAGAGATTTTAGCCATGTCTCTACTTATTCATGAAATGATTCTTTGAGACTTGAATCATACCAATTCTTAGAACAAGAGAATAATAAGGTCGAGAAGAAACCCGCTTATCATCTCTCAAACTTAGCCAAGACATAGTTCTTGTCAGTAAATTTTTATGTATTTTTGAAGTTTGTAAAAAAGGAGAAGTTTTTGTTTTAAATGCATATACAAAAAAGGGAAGGACAAGTCACAGGGAAACCAGTCTATTTCTAACCTAATTTTTTTATACTTCATACGACCTTTATGTAGAGATAAATGCGAGATGAAAATAGAAAGAAAATATACCAAACGAGTATTAGCCCGTGGAGCAAAGCAAAAAAGTAAAGAGACCCGATGTTCTTGCGAGCTGTTAGCACCAACAAAGAAAAGAGTTAGAAATTCAGTACTCGAAGTAAGCGTCGAAGTGTCTTAGATGCGAAAATAAATCACAATCGAAATCTCAAGCATATCCACGTGTCGCATATTGAACCTGCATAAGATTCAAGTCTCGACAAAACAAAGGTGAGTCATGGATTTCAACTAATCGGATAACCAACGAATTAACTCCTGAGAAATCAAATAAGTATTAAAAAACTAACAAATTCTTACAGATTTATTTTATGTATATATATATATTTATTGTTTTTTTTTATAAGGAAGGTTAAGATAAGTTCTTAACTATAATAAAAATTATATAAAAAAAGAAGTTTTGTCATTATTATTTATAAAAAAAAACAAAGAATTAACAAAATAATAAAGAAAGAAAAAAAAATAAAACGGGGTCGTTTTGGAATTGACAGTAGACTCCTTCTTCTCTTCTTTCAAACGGCGCCGTGTGAATGAACCACCGCCTTTGTTTCACTCCGATCAGTGACTGTCGTATCTTCACCATTAATCTCCTTCTCCGATAAAACCTCGCGTGGTCTCCGTCTCCTCAATATCATCACCTTCGTTCTTACTTCGATCTCCCTTCTCCTCTAAACTTCCGCATCGTTCCTCGATTTTCAACGAACAACAACTCTCCAGAAAAAAAAGAAATCTTGCCACACATTCTACACGGAGGTGCTAAAAGGAAAGAGCAAAATAGCAAAGCGAATGAGATGACGGTGCTTACCTACCGGAGAGGTCCGGTGTTCTTTGAGGATGATGAAGATGAACAGAAATCCGGTAGTACTGGTGTATTAAGGTTTGAATCTCTCAACTCATATGCGTGACCTTTTTCCCCTCAATCTTCTTCTTCTATGAATCGACCGTTCTACACCGTGATCTGTTTGTTGGTGCGTGTTGTAGCGTGATGCACTGTTGTTCTTGAGTCGAGCGCGATTTGTTTTGAAATCGTTGAGGATGATGCTGATGATGTACAAAGTTTTTTTTAGATTCTTGTTGAAGTCTTTGAAGAAGATGATGGGAGTTCAGAAAAAATTGAGAATGAATGATGGAGAGGGACGAAGTTGTTTTGAAGCTGATAAAATGGTGATGTTTTGAAACTGGAAAAGAGAGAGAGTAACATCGTCTCCTGAAACCTGGAGGGAGTTTGGATTATATAGGTAGTTGAGGGAGATGGAAATGGTTATGTGAGAATCAATCTGAACCATTGATTTCGGTAGAGTTTGTTAGGGATTGAAGGGTGAGATTGAGAGTTTGTTACAAGGTGGTTATGCTAGTTGAAATTCTGTTTTCCTGGATATGAACCTATTTACTATTATATGACTAGTATCCTTTAAACTTTTTAACTTTCTCCCTCATGACATGACCTTATCAAGTTAGAAAAACGAATGAGCAGATTCAATAATATATCATCAGAACTGCAATGCAAGATTTGGCTGCAGCTGAGGACCAATTTCGATATTGGAGCTCCGTGAATTTGTTGCCTCAATCATCCTATTCAAGTTACTAGCATGTGAAAAATAACTCTGTGGCTTAGTAAGAGTTTCTGATCCTTGCCAAGACGAATTTCCGGCTAGCCCCTGAGATGATCTTCGTGACTTAAAACCCAGATTCCAGACCTGATAAATTGCTGGAATCTGATTGACTTGAGTTGTTGAAGAATTGGGCCTTGAGAGCTGTCGGATTAACATTTGCAGGAGCAATTTGAATGGACAAGTTGTGTATAGTATCCATGTCTAACATTTGAGGAGCATTACCGGAATTTGAAGAACTGGTTATGTCAACAAGTCTTACCAATTATCTTCTTCCTTGGCAATTGCATCCTGGTATTGTTGGTACTCTGCTACCAAATCATTCATGTTACTCTCTGCCTCTGTGAACTCCATCTCATGATTCCAGTCTTGTAAATAATTGATGGCCATCCAATTGCTGTGAAGGAAAAAACATAAGCTAAACTTATCTTCGCTCTGTTTGTTTCATTTGGTCTGAACCTGGTCAAATCGAAGTGAACGACCAACCAATGAGCTATAGACATCCAGCATCGAAATGGACCGTATCCATTTATTATTGCTTTCCTCAAAAGTGGATTTGACTCAAACTCGTCTTTCCAAACAGGCTGCCAAGCAGTATCTTCTTTCAACATGTTCGTTTTTGCATGATGCTTGTCGTACTTAAATCGCCATGGCTCATATGGATAAATTAGTGGTAAAAGGCCAGAGTTCCAACAATGTCTTCTACCAATTTGTTTGTTAAAAATGATTTGTGAGCGCAATCATGTCCTATAACAAAGAACCCATTTACAGCAGTCCCCGTCCAAGCCCAAGCCTGAGGAAGTAAATACCAGGGTGCTTTAGAAATCATAAGAAGCCCCAACGTATACGAAGTGGCTGATATCAAAACAGTTTTCCATGCTTTCACATCATCAATCTCAAAAACCTTCTTAGAAAGAGAAGTGATGACGTCCTTCAACGTAAGAGTCTCCGGAAGCGGTTCTCCGATTTGGTTAAAATCGTAGCGTTCAGCTAGCTCTTTTCTGTACTCCGCATATTCCACTGGAGCTGGTTCAAGTGGAATTGCCACAGCTCGTATAACTCTAAATTTACTCGTAGGTATAAATTGTCTTTGACTTTGATGCGTAAACCCTTTACGGAATAAGATGGATGGGTTACCGGGTGAGTGATGATGAATAGCAATGTTTCTTCTCAAATTCAAAATTGGCTTCTGGTGGGAAGAACACTTTAATTAGAGTAATGAATTTGCAGAGGTGCTAGCCATGTTGAGAGAAATTGAGCTCTCTGTTTCTGTAAATTGTTAAATCCACAAACACAGCATCTGGACAAGCAATTTCGGAAGAAGTGTTCTTAAGCTTGGCAATTACCAATGGGTTGCCAATTACTTTAAACGTCTCGGCAAAGGCTTTCAGACCCAGGCGTTTCTTTCCCTTTTGAAGAACATTGCAAAATTCAAACGGCGATTGAGTGGTTGTGTTTTTCTGTCGCAACAAACTCCGAAGTAACTGTAAATACTTTCCACTGACTTAGAAGCTTGAGCTATTGTAGTATATATGACAGGGATCTTGCAGTCACAATTCTATTCACAAAAATTATACATTTCCTGTTCTGTTGCAACCTAAAACTAGTCAATATTCCAATGAGGCGTAAGAGCTTTGCTGAGAAAAAAGGCTCCTTTAATATTTCCAAAGAAGATGGATAAGAAACATTGTCACCTGTCATGCATTTGGATGTAAGTAGTTCAGCTGTCTTTGCAAGATATTTATCACATACAGACACGTCACTTGAAATTCCTTCCGCCTCAACTAATGCTTGCCTCTCAGAAAGATCACCGCTCAAGAGAATACGACTAGCATCATAAAATATTTCCCCTGAGGCAGAATCCAGGTGCTCTTTCAAAAGCAGTTGTTCCGAAAGTGTTCCTGAGAACCATGAAGACATATAGCTTACAGATTGAGCAATATTGTCAAATTCCCATCTTTTCATAAGTTTAGCTTCTATAGCCAGTGATGTATCAGTCTGGAGCTCATTAAAGTAGTTGATACCATGAACATTATTCCATGCAACTTCAAATACAATATAGCCATGTAGAGTTCTATGTAGTTCACTACTGAATTGCAAAGAATTCCTTATGTTTTTTTTTTAGGCAGCAACACTCTCTTTCTTGATGACGCTACTGCTTCAATCACTGAGAACAATTTCTTTGGTTTACTTATGCTTGGTTGAGAAGAAACCTCCTTCCCTTCTTTTTTTTTCAAAACATTCAAGATTTCAAGAACTTGATCATGCTGATTGTTTTCTTTCAAAACTTTTCTTACAACATGTTGCCATATGTTCTTGATTTAACCTTCACTCAAAGGCTTAATCCAATATCCACAAGCACCTTTTTCAATCGCCTTCATCACTAGACTTGGAGTTGTTGATTGATCAACACACATCATAATGACTGGAATTCTGATTTGCTGTGTAACATGTTGCAAGAAATGGTAGGAATTCATGTCAGGCATTTGAGCTTCACTTAGGATCACGTCATAAAGATTCTTTATTTCTTTCAAAAAGTTCAATGCAAAAGATGCATTACACCAGGTTGTAACTAGATAATTGCATCGAATACACATCTCTATAATGGATTTCGGAGTAATTGTGTCACAATCCACTATAAGAACCCTTAAACCATGTGGAAATTGGTGTAATGGGATTGTAATGATTTTATAATGAATGTTTGGTTCGGATGAACTTGAAATTTATAGTGTGAATTGTAAATAACCTTTGAGCTTGAAATGTTGGGTGATGAATTTTAAGGACGGGGTTTAAATGACAAAGTCTTGAAAAAATGCTTGAAGACATGAAAGCATCAAATTTTCTTGTAAGGTATTGTTACACTTGAATGAAATTGAATGGAATTGGATAGTATTTTTTGAATCATGAACGAAAGGGTTCGAATAAACTTTGAACACATGTGAACTTGAATCTGGAATGACGATGAACATCTTTGTAATGCGTATGAACTCCGACTTGAAACAAAACCTCGCAGTCTGTACTTTACCTTCCAAGAAAACCATATGACCAATATTTAAGGCTCTTTGTCGACTTTAATCCAACTAAACACTTTCAAACATCTTGAACTCAAATCAAACTTCAAATCCAAATCACACTTGCATTCTCAATGAACTCCTAACTTCAATCTTGAACCCAAATCAACTTGAAATGACAAATAATTTGAATAGTCAATAAGATCTTAATCAGATGGATGATAAAGTCTGAATCACAGAAGAATTCCCTTGATGTGAAACCCTTACAATCTTGATTCCTCGTTTAGACGCATAGAGAAATATCCGGACAAAACATCTTTGAACCATGATTCATCAAAACCTAAATTGATTAACTGAGGAGTAGATGATTTTCATGTCACAGTCGTTAATCCTAATCAAATGACAAGCATACTTATAGGAAAGGACGTCATGATTCGAAGCCCACATATGTTAGTTCATGTCCTAGAGTTCTTGACCAGAATGACCTACAATCGGTTGTTTATCAGAAGATATTATCCCTGTAACTTGGTGTAGGAGAAGTCCAAAAATGAGCCTAAAAAAACCTAATTCCAAAGCTTGCTGCCTGAATAAGAAATCATCCTTTATTGGATATGAGCGCCTTAACCACTGTGAACCCCTAGTATCGCACAACCACTGAACTTTGAACCTCAGAGCTATATTGAATGAAATGTATGCCATGTTAGTGACCTAATGAAATAGATGCAGATGAATGCAAAAAGTCTAAGCCAAAATAAAATAAAATAGGAGGGCAAATTTTGGGGTGCAACAGTTGCCTCTATTTAATCGCCTTCAACCCAAAGGTGAGATTGGCGCAAGCCTTTCGAACCTTCAAGGTGGATGAAGATTAAATACTAAAAGAACCCAAAAATTTGTGCTCTGAAGCCAGTCAGGTATTTATTATATATTTTTTGTTTTCTTTGGATTGCAGTGATTAGCTGAGAAAATCTCTTGGATGTCAGGTCAAGGTTAGACATACACAAGAAAGAGACCGACCAAAGAAGGCTCTGACGAAGGAACACCAATTGAAGGCGAACTTACTGAGGATAGAGTCCAAGCGAATGGAACTCCCGACAGATGATACCAGCCGAAGATGGATTTTAACAAATGATACCAGCCGAAGCGGGATTTTTACAAAGAGTACCCGCCGGAGCAGAATTTTTGAAAGATACCAGCCGAAGCAGGATTTTAAAGGATACCAGCCAAAGCGGGATTTTGAAAGATACCAGCCGAAGCGGGATTTTGAAAGATACCAGCCGAAGCGGAATTTTAAAGGATGTCAGCCGAAGGTGGACTTTAGGGTAAAGAAACCAGCCGAAGGGGAATCTTCATCGAGGAATACTATGCCGAAGGTAGATTCCTAGGAAAAGAACGTCGGTCGAAGGCGGACTTACAACTGCAAAGAGACCAGCCGAAGGGGACTCTCAACAAACGGTACCAGCCGAAGGTGGATTTTAAAGGATGCCAGTCGAAGGTGGACTTTAAAGGGTGCCAGCCGAAGGTGGACTTTAGGATAAAGAAACCAGCCGAAGGGGAATCTTCATCCAGGAATACTATGTCGAAGGTAGATTCCTAAGAAAAGAACGTCGGTCGAAGGCGAACTTACAACTGCAAAGAGACCATCCGAAGGGGACTCTCAACAAATGATACCAGCCGAAGGTGGATTTTAAGGATGCCAGCAGAAGGTGGACTTTAGGATAAAGAAACCAGCCGAAGGGGAATCTTCATCCAGGAATACTATGCCGAAGGTAGATTCCTAAGAAAAGAACGTCGGTCGAAGGCGAACTTATAACTGCAAAGAGACCAGCCGAAGGGGACTCTCAACAAATGATAAAGGTATGCATATCTGGTCAGAGTTAGATACACAAGAGCTAAGTTGATCATCAAGAAACAAATGTTTAGAATTGCTAGCGAACACAGGAACGAGACTAACCGAAGAAAGCCCCAATAAAAAAGGACGCATTCATCTAAACAAGGGCGCCAGACAACTGGACTTTGAAGAGACATTGAAAGACTCTTAATCATAAAAAGTTAGCTAGGCTACGAAAGTAGGACCCGACTAACGCAGATAAACCAAAACAAGGAACCGACTAAGCAGGACCTTCAAAGAGCACCGATCGAAGGTGGACTTTACAAGAGAAAGAGTTTGGTCAAAGCAGACTCTAACGAAAATTTCCATTATACGTTGGGCTTTTGATAGTTTGTAAATACGCAAGGGTTAAAAATCCCTCAGGCCAAAGGCGGGGTGTAATTCTTCAAGAGTGGCAATTGCCTGAATTACCGCACACCAAGTGTGGATACTCAAACACTTGAGAAGCAAGAAAGGTTATAAGCCAACTCTTACTCATACTCTAACGACAAAGAAAACGCGGGTAAAATAACCAAAGGCTTGCAAAGGCAAGCGCAAACCACAAACTTACTGGGGAAATGTAGAAATACCAAAGACCCGACTGATAGTGAATCCACACAAACTCTGCTGGGGAAACATAATAGAATTACCCTAGGCTTCTTGTGGAGGTAAATCAAATCTGAGCGCATAACAATCTTGTTACCACAGGTGGACACAATTGGCTTATACTCGTGCATGTTTGAGGAATTTTTTTTTAGCGTAATGCTCCATACGATGGAAATGCTACGCGTTTTGGTAGATGCAATGTAATGATGCAATGCATTAAGAAAACATATCAACAATCGACTGTTGAGAAGATAAAGAACTTCCGAATGAGTATTCTTGCACATCTGATCTTTTGTAGAGATAAGGCAATTTGTACTTCAATGGGGAACTGAGATTTGGAACCGTCAACCCCTAAATATCGATATCATTGGGGAAATAACTTCTTGGGAAGAACACTGCAAACATAAAATTGTAGTTCAGAGAAAATCTTGAATACTGATCAAACTCCCAACTTCACGGGGAACAAGTTCCTTATCCTCTATTGGAAAGAGGAAAATCTTTGCTGGGAATGGAAACTTTTGACATAGAAATTCTTTGATGAAGATAACTTCCGTTAGGGGAGTATAGAAATTCTTAAATAAAAAGAATTCTACTCAGACCGAGCTGGGGTTAACATTGATGGGAAGTAAAAGATCCTCACTTGGGGAAGAAACAACATCCCGGGACAAAAAACTCCATTGGGGATATCGCAACAAAATCTTCTACTACTGGTAATGAAAGAGTTATGACTGGAATTCTCCTGTTCATCTCACCTGAGAGATAGGACACTTACTCCATTGGGGAAAAAGGAATAGTTCCACTGGGGAATTTGAATTTCGTTATACGAACATCCTCATGTTAGTCACATAGGGACCCTCTTTGATTCATTTGTTGGTATGCATCTTGTCATGCAAGACCAACAGTTATTTGCAAAACAGAAATTTGGGCAACATGCCCCTGTTTGGAATGGAAAACCTTACCGAAGAATATACCACTTGAACGATCAATCACTGGGTAAAAACCGCGATGCAAGATTGCCACTTCAACATGTCGACTTCGAGGAGGAATGCCACTAAAAAATGGACTTTAGAGGAGATGCTACAAAAATAAACTGCAGTCCAATGAAAAGGGGTCGACTAGACTTTAAACAAATTCTATATTTCCAGGGAGAAAGAACATTCTCCTACTGCAGAGAAACGAGGATGCTTCACTGGGGAGAAAAAATATCAGAAGAGGAACCCCTTGGTAGATAGGTCTATGTCAAGTAGCAACAGGTATTTTACTGGGAGTATGCATCCCCCTAGGAAGCAATGTTCCCATCGCGTCTTGTACGAATAAACAAACCCAAATAATCTCCGCGTTATTGCTCGTATCCTAATGAGGATAACAATCCAAATTTTAACTGGGGATAATAACCTTAACTTAGGACAAAGGATATCATTAAATGGTCTTGAGCCTCTGATAAGTTGAAGATAACAATCTTAACTTCTCAGCATGATTTTCAAATTCATAGGTTGTTTAGCCTGCGTACGTACTTGATCTGATCAACTACTCAAGAAGAGAGAAAGCCCTTACATAAATTCTTGCCCCAGTCTGTAAGGATTTTGTAGAAAAATTGCCTCGAGAGGGCTTTCTAATATATGTACCACTAAGATAAACTGCCCCAGTGTTATGAACTTTGGAACATGATGTTCAGTTAATAAAAATTGGAGATAATTCCAACTATGCTTGAGTGAATGCCCATACATCTTCAAATTCTGGGAAGGTTCTCCTCTGATCAATGCATTCTTAGAGAGATTTGTCAAATCTCGACATAACTGCCCCAGTTTAACTGTACTTTGAGGGATCGCATCCAGACTTGAATGCCTCAGATTGGCTAAATACCTACTCGACCGAATATTCGACACACCTGCCCTTTGCTTAACAGAATCTCGACAAATCTTTTCCTTTACCTCATGCTCACAGAGGGATGAGAAACTTGAGGATTTTTGAAGGCAACATAACCTTAGAGTGGTTGGCTCTT